TTATTTTGTATTCGATACGGCTACGACTACGACCGCTTGAACATGAGACCCAACCTCCATCGGTCACGATGCTTCCATCTTCAGCTAATACGGTGTCGTAGCTGTAAGATGTGGAACCACGCTTTGGCGGCTCTTTCCCTACCGTACTGGAAGCTCTTTCCCTACCGTACTGGCGGCTCATTCCCGACTGTACTGCAAGTGTATGCTTCGTTACCTGGTGCGTGGGAACGGATTGCTGCTCTCGGGCACGCGGCCGGTTCCTAGTGGTGTGAAGGTGCACGTGAGCTGGCTGCGGCCATTGTGGTGCAGCTTCGCCAACGTTGTGCCAGGTGCGACGGTGTTCACAGAAAGCATTACTTCAACTTAAAAGGTCGGCGACGTCAGTGGCAATGTAATGTTCATTAGACTTTGGCAGCGCTACGGCAAGTACGATTCTGTATCACAGTACTCTGGCGGGTAGCTCGAGCACACTCTCGTGCTTTTTTTTGCTACGATAGTATGAGTCTAGGGACGACTCGGCGCAGGCAGGCTAATGTGCTCTCTGAAACTACGGAATTGGCCTCACGAGCTTAACTGATCGCACGCATTGACGAGGGATGCCAGGTGGCCAGAATTGCTGTCGTTCATGTGGTGTGTGTCCGTCATGCTGTTGATCTCCTAGAAGTTCGGGAAATGCTTACTGGATTGCTCGACAACCTACTGAAGCGCGACATCAAGAAGATCACAGGCCGATCACTACACAATGCTGGAATCAGCAAGAACAAAGCAAACGTCGCTGCCACGGATGAATCTCAGACTGCCAAAGCTGCTACCTCATTATACAACGTCTCTCGAATCGTTTGCACTCATTTTGGTGAAAACGAAGAAGAAATGGCTGAAGTTGAGTGGTTTCATACTTTTGAACCGCTCGATGATCTCCCTAAAAGACCGAGTTGTCAAGGACAAGAATAAATGGGCAAAAACGTTACTCGAAATGGATGCGAGAGATGCAGGTATTGAGGAGGAGGAGGAAAGCTAAGATTTTATATTTTGAAATATATTTTGTTATCTTTACATCATCATCATTACATGGATAAATCGTGCAATTCAACGATACCCATTGCTTCGCATTGAAACTCTTCACTATTCACTGCATCTATAGACGACGCTGATGATCTTCCTGACGATGCTTCTCACGATGGACCTGCTATTCCTAAACGAAGGAGACTTCAAATTCGACCTGCATTATAAAATAAGTGCACGTGGAGTCTCTCGGAACGCCAACGACTTCTGATCACTGGATGGTAAACGTAACAGAACTGGGTCCGTGCAGTGGACTCAAAGCATTGAGCAAACGGAGACGACGTCTACATGTAGACTTCTGACTTTAGGCTGCTAGTAGAGAAGTGAAGACGAGAGAGAGAGAGAGAGAGAGAGAGAGAGAGAGAGAGAGAGAGAGAGAGAGAGTGAGTGAGTGAGAGAGATGATTTCTATATTGCACAACGTGGAATGATTTACGCATACTACGTACATGAACTAGTTCGATA